ATTCTGGCACCGTGTACTCGTTACCCATAAGTTCAAGCGACTGATACTCTATGGTAACGGCACCCACGAACTCGGTGTTTAATATGACTCGACTATGGACATCAAATGATTTTGGATGTCTTTGAGCTCGATCTCACAGCAAGTCCATGGCCAAGTCGATGTGCTGCAGCAGGAAACACCAAAAAAGTATGAGTTATTCATTTAATAAACACAAGGTCACATATACATAAAAAACACGAAATGAATAGTTCACTTACATCGTCAGCGAGCCAAGTTCCCGCAGTGGTGATATCGTGGAACCACTTGCAAGGGTCCGAGACCGTCCTTTGACCTATCGTGAGGCTAACTCAGTAAAAAATAGGGAAATGTTAAAAAAGCGTAGACAAGTTAGCGTATAGTGCTTTATTAAAATCATACAATACTTACTCGGGGATAAATTCTCCTCCACTCTGTCTCGAACGCTTTCCACTTGGTATTGTCCACCTCTCTGAATAAGTTCGGGTACGTCCCATCGATGAACGTCCTTCTCTTGGCTTCAGCCGTGAAGGGGGAAACAACATACTGTGACGGCACTCTCAACCTCTTGCCGACCACCTGCTCCGTCTCGTCAACAGCATGTCTCTTATCCTCAATCACGCCGGGCGTCCTCTCGACCTCCGGGGCCACCTCCTCCGCCCCTCCATCGGGGCCTCCCCCTCTATCGCTACCACCTCCGTCCTTCCCGTCGGGGCCTCCCCGTCCGTCGCCACCTCCTCCATCCCTCCCATCGGGGCCACCCCCTCCATAGACAATCACAATGACTCCAATGTCTCATCACGCTAAAAATGTGGGTGACCCCCCTCTCCATCACCATATCTGCCACCCTCTCGATCATGATCTCCGCCATCCCCTCTGTCACCCCATCGTCTGTCGGCTAAATCTCCTCTAAGCCCCTCTACTGTATCCTGAAGTTCGGCAACGGAAGACTGTAGTATTCCAACATCATGGGATAGATCGTCAACCCTCCCTGTCAACTCTCGTCCCATATCGTCGACCCTCCCTGTCAACTCTCGTCCCATATCGTCGACCCTCCCTGTCAGATAGTCAACCCTCCCTGCTAGATTGTCGACCCTCCCTGTCAACTATCGTCCCAGATCATCGACCCTCTCCGTCAAATCTCGTCGTAGTGCGCCGACCTCCTTCACTATAAATCCAGTCAAATGAGTATACAAATCATCACTGTGTCTCGGAGACACACGGGGGAGGTGTCTGGACGGAGGTGATGCCAATGACGGCGGCGATGGCCCCGGTGGAGGTGATGCCACTAGTGGCGGTGATGCTCTCGACGGAGGTGATGCCAATGGCGGGGACGATACTCTCGACGGAAGTGATGCCAATGGTGGCAACGATGCTCTCGGCGGAGGTGATCGTCGATCAGCTGGACCGCCTTCCTACATAAATAAAATGAAAAATTATTCAATAAATTTATACGTCAACGATATTTAATAAATTATATTTCATTCACATACCCAATCTCGGTCCAAGCTCGGATCAGACATTTCCTCGTCTGGGGTGTGCGAAACGTCTAAATCCCGCACAAGACCTCGAACCTCCTCTTCCATCGATGGCGTCAACTTAGGTATGACTTCAAGCTGACATATTGACATTTCAACCACTTAACGATCATGTAAACAAAATTTTAAATTACGTATAATATAAATCACAAATGCATAATACTTACCTGAGGATCGTTGATGAGGGCCGATAACTGCTTCCCAGTGGGACATCCCTCCGCTCGCGATGATCTCCAATGATGCATCCGAGGGCAGCGTGTCTCCCCTCGCTGCGCAAAGCGGGCTCCCAATACAGGAACTGTCTCATACACCCAAATCTGTAACACATACACTTATTAAGCATCAATATAATACACTAAAACTTTAACTTTGATTATATTAAACATTTACCTACACCGCTAAGGGCAATCCATATGTATCGTATTTATGCATCGACCCTCTGGGCCTCGAGTGCGATCTGGTGAACACATGTACGGTGTCTTTGTAGCATCTTCGGCCCCATGGATAGTTGGTGAACGCATCGATGTCGTCAACAACTTGCAAATGAAAAATGTCGATGACAGTCTTCTTGTGATGACACCTCATCACACTCTCGAGAATGTAAACCAGCCTAAGCTTCAATCTATCTAGCATATGGTCGCACCCCCTGATCGCGACCATCAAGTCAGGTAGAAGCACCGACCCATGTCCCTAGAAGTACGTCTCGTACAGCCTATTGCTTCTCTCCATGGCTGCATCGTTGCCCGTAATCCTCAGTCCAATGATCTATGTAAACTCAAACATCGAGAAACTGACAACCTTGCCCCCGAGGTCGAACTGGAGGAAATCGCCGTCGACTGGCCTCAAAAGCCGACATAGAAGTGTATCAATGATCTGTCCTGAGTATTGCACCTCTCGCAACTGGTACAGTAACCACAAGAAGGACTGTCGTAGCATATCTCCGTGCTGATCATCGAGCAGCTCCAACACAGTAGTAAAACTCTCAAAACTACTACTTCAAGTAGCTTTCCCTGGCATCCGTCTCAACTTTGCATCTAGATGATACTCCATCCTGCAAAAATTCAAATGTTATAGCATTGAACAAGAGATTACAAAAGAAAGCATAATTTCACAAAATCAAGGGAACCGAACTCTAACTACCATACAATCAAAAATATTACGTTTGAAAAATATATTTACAAAAAACAACAAATCAAATTAAATGTATTGTCAAAAAAATTAAAGAATATAAATATTATTTAAATAAATTGAAAAAAATCAAAGATTTTCATAAAAGAACAATAAAAGGAACAAAACAAATTGTTAATTTCGAACAATATTATGTATTCAATTATTAAATTATATAAAAAAAGGAAATTATAAAAATTAAATAATTAAATAAAATAATTATTATTTGGAAAATATATTTACAAACAAAAAATTTTAAATTAAATACATTTTCGAAAAATGTAAAGACTATTTATATTATTTAAATAAATTTGAAAAAATAAATTGAAGATTATTTCATTAAAAAAAAAGGAACAACACAAAAATTGTTAATTTTAGAATATTTCAATTATATAAAAGATAAATATAAAAATTAAATAAATAATTACTTTACATTTTCAAAAAATGTAAAGTCCATTTATATTATTTAAATAAATTTGAAAAAATAAATTAAAGATTATTTCATAAAAAAAAAGAATCAACATTGTTAATTTTACAATATTTCAATTATTAAATTATATAAAAGACAAATATAAAAATTAAATAAATAATTACTTTACCTTTTTTTAAAATGTAAAGACCATTCATATTATTTAAATAAATTTGAAAAAACAAATTAAAGATAATTTCATTAAAAAAAAAAGAATCAACATTGTTAATTTTACAATATTTCAATTATTATATTATATTGACAATGATAAAAATTAAATAAATAAATAACATAATTACTATTTAATCAAATAAAAAATTTAATTAATTACAAAAATTATAAAAAATATTTAAAATTAAATATATAACAGTCTGGACAGTTAACAGTCGGCCCAGACTGTTACTAGTCGGTTGGCCGGGAGCCGGGAATCGGCCGAAAATAGCCATTCCCGAGGACTGAGCTCCAAAAAAAGCTAAAAATTCACATTTTTCACATTCCCAGCATGCCCACAATCTAACTACTCATGCCCATGGATCTAATTAAACTGAAATTAGTAAGGAAAATGTTATAAACTTGCACATGAACTGCATTAACTGGAGAAAAGTGACGAAAACTAACCGGTTATTTTATTTCCGGTGTAGATGATGGTCATTGACTGCGACGTTTATGTAGTTGCCGATGGTTGATCGGTCAAATTTCTGGAGTCGGTCGGTCGGTCAAAAATTTTCAAACAGTTTGAAGGGTAAAATCGCCTTTTACTGTGAAATTTTTTTAACTTAATTTGTTTTTTTTTAATTCATTTAATGGTTCAAAGGTCAATGTCAAATTTTGCTACAGTGGAAGAGCCATTTTCGTGTATTTCCTCCTAAAAAATCTACATTTAAGAATATTTTTCTTTGACTCCGAACCTTTAACAAAGTGCAGCTATAGGTCCTAATCTTAAGACTTAGATCTTCACATTATCAAGATCGTCGATGATAAAATTGTATGTGACTTAAAGTTGGCAGGCAAAATTATCAAATTAAGATATTTCTCTTCAATTCAACTGAAAAAGTCGAAAAAGGTTTTTAGAGTTCAATCCTAACTTTCTCATTTTTTTTTGTGTCAATCATTTTAGAAATTTTTCGAAGAATACGAAGAAAGAGAAAGTGACAGAACCAGGCGCTCGGAGTGCAAATAGGTTGTCTAAGTGGACAGGCTATGAGTCCAGTCATAGAACCCACCCCTAATAATCAGGGGCGGACCCAAGATAATTTTTTAGGGGGGGCGAGACAAAAAAAAGAGCTAAAATAAATTGTGAAAGCATTGTTTCAATGTTTCAAGTCCGGACGAAGTTGGTGGTGCCTGGTGGAGAAGCACTTTGGAATGTCCCTAAATTTTCACAGTTGTTTTTCTTCAAAGACAACATTTTATGTATGTTCTTTTTGTTTTATTTTTTGTCAACCTTTTGTGATTTTACAAGAGCAGAAAAATTAATTTGAATACAACTATATCAATTTTATTCAATCATTTTTGTGGTATGATGGAATTGATACAAAAAATTAAAAGAGAAAAAGAGCCAAAAACAAAAAACAAGAAGAATAATAAAAAAGCCATCCTAAGAATTGAACCCAAGACTTCCTGCAACCACAGCAAGATATATACCACTAAACCAAATACCCGATATTTGTTGCTAATTTTTTCTGAAGGTATTTGAAATTTCAGTGGGGGCGACTGCCCCCACTGGACCCTTAATAGGTCCACCCCTGCTGATAATTGCGTGCTCGGATTGTGAGGGCCATGAAGAACGGACTGGAATGCCAGAAATTACAGAGAGAGGATCTACTTGCTACATTTCCAATATATTAGAGACTCCAACTGTAATTTTCCGTAATATATGAGTACTTACATTTCCGTCATTTTAATCTTAGCCAAATATTGCTACCTAATTCTTGTATTACTGCCGGAAGAATTGAATTCCAATCTCTTAAGAAAACATGAAGAAATTCAAAACCCTGTTGGCAACAACCCGAAATGCTATCAAATCGGCGTCGTATTTCACCGACGAACAGTACAAATCAGTGTCAAAGGAGAAAGTGGACGCGGTGGTGATAGGTGCAGGCGTGGTGGGCATAGCCATAGCCAGAGAGCTTGCAGTGAACCATGGTAGGGAAGTTATTGTGTTAGAATCTGCATCTACTTTTGGGACAGGCACCAGTTCTCGCAACAGTGAAGTCATTCATGCTGGCATCTATTACCCTCCCAATTCTCTCAAGGTTATTGTTTTTTCTTTCTTTGAAACTATTTTTCATATTGTAATCATGGTTTTGATTAATCTGGGATTGAATTTGAAGTGAAGAAAGTTTGGGGATTCTGTTGTTTATTGTGTAAAAATGATAAAATGTTAATCTTTATCGAGCTGCACTTAGGAGCGATTTGACTAAGCTTAAGAATAAGCTTGAAACTTATGACTTACTTATTCTGACTTTTTATAATAATAATTAGAATTTAATTCTTTACTTGTAAGTGGAGTTTATAAGCTTAGCAAAACATGAGTTTGTGTTATTAAAATTTTTTTCCGGATAAGATTTGGGAATCCAGTAGATTTAATAAATTCAATTTAACCAAACAGAACAGTGTGGCGGAAAGAGTCTTTTCTTCTAAGTGCTTGCTAATTATAAATTAATTGACTACTGCAATGTGAACTTTCTTGATAAAATGAATTTGGAAGGCTCGGAAGTGATATCATGCCCAAAAAATTATTGGATTACAGCTATCTGAGAAGATTTTCCGATTTTTTTCTGAAAAGAATGAACTTGAATTACAACAAGCGGTAGTCATTGATACCATTGAAGTTTTTGAAGAACAGCCTAGTTTATGTCAAAGAGTATCATATTTAGATTTAATGTTTTAAGGTCTACTATGCAACTCTAGAAGGTGCAAACTTATTTTGAATCAATGAAAATTTCTGCAGGGTCTATCTATAGTTGTTCAAAGTGATTGTCTGAAAACAAGTGTATATTCTAAATCGGCTAAAAGAACGTGTTTGTTGAAAGGATTTGTTTACCACCTGATCTAATGATTATTTTGTCATGTGTCCACACCTCATAGGAAGAGAAAATAATTTATTACAAATTTTCTGTTTTGCCACAATATTTCTCATGATAAAATGTAACTAGGACTTGATTTCTCATGGGAACGAAAATGTTTTTGAACACGTAAATAATTTTGTGTTACCTGATCGGGAAGCAGGCACTTCAACATTGTCGGACATTGAAAGACTTGCACGACCTGCTCTTATTCTAGCTGAAATTTGGTGACAAGCAACTTTACACAAATTGTTTTTCTTTGAAAAAACGCTTTTAAGTTTCTGAACATAATCAATACCTAAGTACATCATCCAGTTGTCTTAACACATAAGAACTTCTTTCAGATGTCTTTGCCCATATGAAATAAGGTTTAGAGAATATGCAATCTATCAAGATGTAGCTTTGGACAACAATAAGGTGAAATTAGGTCAGTGTGGTACAAGGCATAGTAATAGACTACATATCAGTACATGGAAAATGTTTACGATTACACAATGTCAATTTAAATGCTGCTGTACGTAACAAAAATAAATCCTGTCATTAACTTGGATTGCAAATATTCTATTGTAGGCAGTTATGTGTGTTAGAGGAAGACAGTTACTTTACAAGTATTGCAAACAACATGATATTCCTCATAAACAGATTGGCAAGCTCATAGTTGCTACTGGACCTTCAGAAGTTCCTAAATTGAATACATTGATGACTCGAGGAATAGAAAATGGGGTGGAAGGTCTGAAGCTCATGGAGGGTCATGAAGCCACGAGAATGGAACCGGAATTGCAATGTCTGAAAGCTTTATTATCACCTGCTTCTGGAATAGTTGACACACATTCGCTCATGCTATCAATGATGGTATGGTTTTTCATGATTCTATATCACTTTAAATAGAATGTGAGGGGATTATCTTTCTGATCTGCCATTTTAGAATTATATATGTATATTGATAGGGATATCACCCCAATATGGGTTTAGGGGGAGGCTGAAAGTCACGGTACGACTTTCTCTTACAATACTACTGTTATTGGTGGTCACTGTGATAAAGATGGTATCCAGCTTCACATTTCTGAAAGCAAAGCTATTAAAAACCATGATGGACGATCTCTCCTGCAACCAGATGTAATTCTTATTCCGAGACTACTTGTAAACTCTGCAGGCTTGGGTGCCCCAGCTCTTTCTAAACGGTTCAATGGCCTAGATGTTGAAGTTATTCCTACGCCCTACTTTGCCCGGGGTTGCTATTTCGTTTTATCAAACAGTAAAACTCCTTTCCAGCATTTAATTTATCCTATACCTGAGGATGGCGGCCTTGGAGTGCACGTCACACTGGATTTAAATGGCCAAGTAAAATTTGGTCCCGATGTTGAATGGATAAATGGCATAGATGATTTTTCAAGCTTCCTGAACATGTAAGCTTTCTCTAAAGACCATTATTAGAGTGTTCTGTTTGTTCGGAAGAAGTTATAAAGACAGAATTTCGTTTTTTTCCCTTCAATGGTTTTGTTTCTCTGTGCAAATTAATAATGTAGAGTAATTGGATCCCCCAAGTACTGCAGATGGAGGCCCGGAAAAGACAAAACTGTAATATAAATTCTGTGCAGATGAATGCGTATGCAATTAGCCTCCTCGAGACCATTTTATGGATTCTACTTAGAAATAATTTATACTTGCTTGCCTAAGCTTAAAAGTGAAACTTAATTTAATGTAAATTTTTGCTTCCAAGCATGTTTGGATAAGTTACTTTTTCTTGTGAGAATTTTTTACCTATAATGACGGTAGGTAACTTTTTAAATCTGCTGTCAAATCCCAAGGCTCAACACTAGACAAGTGGTGGAAACTACCAAGCTGGAGTACAGTAGGGGAAAAGGGAATTTCTAGTGGAGCGATGAAATGCTTAGAGATTGGAAAGAACACGAGTTACTTCCAAATAGTTAACGTACTTATTTCAATTGGACCTAAATAAAGTAATATAACTTAGAACATATTTAGTTATCAGTAAAAATTTTAAGGTTAGCCGTGCTTTGCACAAATTACTAGTGTGGAGCGTCCTAAAATCTTGAATTTCTATTCAAGTCTATATGCGTGTGACATATATGATTGCAAACTTGTACTTGCTCGTGAATATTCATCTTACTCAATCTTTTTCTCATGCAAACTCGTTGAGAAAACCCTTACCCAGGATCAACCATTATAAATTGAAATTGGATTATTTACAACTGAGAGCTGTCTGAGCTTATTTTTGTAATTGTGCTAAAATGTCATGCAACAGGTATTTTGTTTCTGCAGCAGAAAAGGTTTGTTTTTAAAAGAGCAAGTGACTAATGTTTTGCACTTATCTTGTTAAAGGTTCGACTATTCTGTGCCTGGTGAACGAGCAAAACTATTCTACCCGGAGATAAGAAGATACTATCCCGGTTTAAAGGATGGATCCCTCGAGCCGGGTTATGCTGGAATCCGACCCAAAGTTTCAGGTCCCAATCAAGTGCCTTGTGATTTCATAATACAGGTGAGTTCAGGGATTCTAATGGTTAACTCACCCAATAGAGCGAGAGCTCACCGGTATTATAAACTAGTCTCCCTGTTCTAATACAGAGATTATTTTTCGTTTTGCAGAAAAATCTTAATATATTTATCCGTCTACTTTTGTTCATGTGCTTTCTGGCTCGTGAGAATTCGACCTCAAAACTGACTGAAGCCTTTTTATTTTGTAGGGAGAGGACATTCATGGTGTACCTGGCCTCGTAAACCTATTCGGGATTGAATCGCCCGGTTTAACTTCAAGCATGGCAATTGCTGAGCATGTTGCTGCCAGATTGAACTCTGAAAATTGAATAATTTCTTTTCATTAGAATCAGCACTGCCGTCAAAGATTGGAGATCAACTTGCTACTCGGAGAACTTGTTGAGGACTAGTATTGTAATTTTTTTTCCAAGATATAATATGATCTTGAATGTGTATTTGATGTAAGATTTGATTCCCAACTTTTTCTTTTATGTGAGATGAAATGACGGGTTCTTATCACGTTCTAACGATATTCAGCCCTTGTTTGAGCTCCATTCTTTTGAAAAAATATTTTTTTCAACAGTGTTTTAACGTTATTTTAACCACACATTTTTAATAAAATAATACTACAAGTAAATAAAAAACGTTTCTTTATTTTTTAATCTTATATTTTCTATCAATACACTATTCAAAAGTACATTCTTCCAAAAAAAAAAAAGGGCTCAAACAAGGGCTTAATCTTGTAGTTTTTTAAATCAAACCCGACCAATTTTTAGGGGGGATGCTCATTAATTTCGATTGAGGCAAAGAAGTATCCAAATTGATCAAATGGCGATCGGTCAAACAAGTTGATTAAGAAACGATTATAATGCAAGCTAATGCGATTTTGATTAGACAATTTGAACATTAAAACTAACGCGAAAAATTATGATTGGCAATTTATAAATATCTTAAAGCAATCCCAATATGAACACATTTTTTGTTCTTTTTTGGATGGTATTGACCAATTTCCTCAATCATGCACAGTATGTTGTGGACCACAAGATTTTGTCACTAGCGCTTCAATTGACATGCATTCACTAAAAACGCATAGACGCGTTGCACATGCCAAATAGACAACAAGAAGTGTCATGCATGAAATAGGGCAACGTGTGACTAATCGAAAAGATGTAGATCTTGAAATAATGAATGAGAATAATCTAGAAAGCCTACATGATTTGATCATCGAGTGGATTGATTAGAGTATAACCAACCATTCGGTATCACTTCACGTACGATTCTACCCATAACATTAAAAAGAGAGTGTGAACAAACAATATAAATTATCTTTTCAATATTTAACAAAAATAGAATAATACAAGAGAGCAATACACATTTATGGTCGTTAGAAGATACAATTTCAAACTTAACAAACATGTTTTAAAATTTCAAAAATCACGTCATAATTAAATTCTATAAATTAAAATAGATATTTAAAAATATTTTATCAATTAAATATATTAAAGTCACAATATTATACACAATAAATAGATTTGTAGGATATCACAAGAAGGAGATGAGATTGAGTTTAATATTGAAATTCTACACAATGAAATATTGTGGAAACTTGATAGATTTGTAGGATATCACAAGAAAGTTGTAAGCAAGTTTAGGCAAATGCTTTTCTTCCTGCGGAACAGATCCTTGCCCAGGTAATGGTTTGCATCACTATAATCTGATTTTTTTTCCAGATTTTTAGGGTAAGGGGATTGGGGAAGATAGAAGAAGGAGATGGGCTCTTTTATTTTCCTTTTAAAATAATTTTTATTTTTTTATATTAAAATTATAAAGTTACATTTTTACCCTTGCCTTACTTGATCAATATTATTAGATTTTTAATTTTTGAGGTCAACTGACGGTTTTTTTTTTGTCAAACTGACAGAAACTGTTAATCTGGACTTGAACTGCAAATTTTGTAAAGGTTTGATACCTACGGTGGCACAAATGAAAGGTTTGGGCAAAGTCTGCTAATAAACGAAAGATTTGGTACTTTGACTGCAATTTTCCCTTAATTCAACTTAGCCCCATTTGGCTCCCATTCTTTTCAAATTTTAATGATTGAAATAATATTTTTTTGAAAGATGTATGGTTGAAAAAGAATGAATTTTTTTTATTTGTGTATAATATTATTTTATAGAAGATTGCGTGGTTGAAAATAAGAGAGAGAAAAAGAATGAGAAAGAGAATGAGGGCCAAACGGGGACTTAATATTATCATCGAAATTAAAAAATTAAATTATCAACTGATTTTTTTTTTGGATACCGTTATTTCCATCCATGCTTTCTATAAGTACATTACACTCTAAACTCATCCTTAATAAAATATAAAAATATAAGAAAAATACTATTTGCATCTATATCATTTCCAATCTTTCCCTTATTAAATCCATTTAAATACTATATATCCACGTGAAAAAAAAAATACTATTTGCATCCACGAACATTGTTCTTCGTGTCAAGCGGTGAAGGAATTCATTCGTCTTCAAGTTTCAGTTTAAACTTTAATAAAGTGTGTTCGAATCTGAATAGGCAAAAATGATGTCCTTCAAAATTGAACTGGGACTAACGGGTTTGGAGTTTTTTTTAATTCTTGGGGGTCATTTTCTTCTTTGACACGGGACTATTGGCTATGGGAAATGTAAGTTCAACCTTTATATTACTAAATTTATCGTTGATTCCTTGTTGGCTGTTTAACATTGTGTCATTGTGTTGAAAGAGATCATCTTCTTCTCAGGCGTGACATTAACCATTGGACTCAAGTCATCCATCGGGAATTGTAATGTTTATTTTAGGGTACGATTTCATTTGGTGCTGGCTTCTTCTTTGTCATCATTGGATGACCTATTATTGGAATGATGCTAGAGGCATATAAATTTGTCGTACTCTTCAGGTTCAGCAAACACTGTTTCTTTCATTAGACATATAATAATGTATTAGTTTTCACAGTAGTTTACGCTTATCGCTTATTTCACACTGTTTCTTTCATTAGATGTATATCCGAGAACTTTGCATAAGAAGGAAGAGCATGGAAGCTGTAAAGAAACAGAACTTCGCCAATGTGTGTATGTTTATTAGAGAAAGGAAGGGGACAGGGAGCTGCATTTGTTTATAGCTGTAATTTACATATTAATATAATTCAACCCAAGAAGCCTCTTTTTCTCTCCAAATTTTCGAACTTTGTGGTTGCGTGTGTATGTATATGTATTGGCTATATATACATCTATTACCCAGGCTACTCATTATTACTTATGCGTATTTAAATAAATTTATATAGGATTTAAAATATAATAAAATTTTATTTTTAAAAGTGGATGTACTTATAAAAAGCGTTGATGGAAATAGCAGGACCATTTAAAAAAAAATTAAATTAATTTTAAATTGGAAAGTTAAAAAACATGTGTAAGTATAATTTTCACCATCAATAATTTCTTACTTATTTAATACAAGAATTTTAACACTTTTTTCTAGGCCTTGCAAGCTTTCTAATGGTCCTTTTGATTGCAACAATAGAATTTGGATGGAAAGAAAACGAATTCCAGATAAATGAATTGCTTAGAAATTGTTTTACTGAAAATTGTTAATTAATAATGTTTTCACTTGAAAAATATTGAAATAAAAGTGTCTTTTGGTGTTCGTTTGACTTTATTTTTTTTAATGAAAATTGTCAATTTAAGGGATATCCATTTTTACAATTTTTTCTAAAATTTATTTCCATTACAAAAAAAAAAAAAAATGAAAACAAAAGTTGCGTGGAAAATCAATTTCCACCAATCCCATGAGAAAGTGAATTCCTCAAAATCAAGGAAAAGCCGATTACGTAAGGACAAAGCTAGAAAACAAACTACTTGGAAAATTTGGCAATTTAAACACTCAAAAGCACGGAAAATGAAATTTTATTTACAAGTTTCATGGGGAAAAAAGAGGCTATCAAACGGGCCGTAATTGTTGGACCAAGTAATTGGATTGGGGTAATTGAAATTGTAAAAAATTAAAATTAATAAAAATGAAAAAAAATGGACTCAAAATCAAGCACCTACCGTTTACAGTTCAAGAATCGTCTAGAACCCAAGCGGGCCTCACTTCTCAATTTCGATTCCTCAATTTATTTATTTATTTATTTTTGAACATAATTGAAATTTCGATAAATTGGGTTCCAATTAAAATACACGTATCTAGAAGTGGTAAAGTTATTGCAGAGATTGTCAAGATACAAATATCTTTTCTCATTTAGAACCAAGGTTTATAATTCTATTGAACAACGCTAGTATTTAAATTGACAACATTATGATCGTTAAATTACAAATTTAATTAAATACAAGAAATTATGATCCGAATTATGATATGCCCAAGCCCAAATGATATTCAACATCACAAATGTCTGATTTATATGAGGTAGATTCAAACAACTTAAGTGAGATGGACCAATCCTGAATTGATTCACCTCAATGGATTAAAAAAAAAAAAAAAAATTATCGTTGAGGCTCCATCATACGAGTGAAGTCCTCGAAGCAGACAAACCCATCTCTATTCTTATCAACACCTTTTATCATTCGCTGGCAGTCATCTAACGTGCAACGTCCGTCACCAATTGTTCTAAATACGTTATAAAGCTCCTCCGCGGTTATCTTTCCGTCACGATCGGAGTCGAAGAAGTCGAACGTTTCCTTAAGCTCGTCGTCGCAAGCCGGAGGCCCAAAAGCCGAGCCGATATCGTAAAACTCTTCCATACTAATACACCCATCACTGTCTACATCCATCTCGCTCAACATCAGTCTCAGCTCCTCCTGACTCGGTGGCTGGGCTCCGACCCGGATCAATAACGCCTCCAGCTCCTCCTTCTTTATCTTCCCGTCACCGTCCCTATCTATTAATTCAAACGCTCGTTTCAACTCGAAGTCCGACCATTCATCGGCAGGTAGAACGCTTGTGGGCGTGGCTGACCCGTTTGTAGGGTTTCTGAACCCTGTTTGAGAATCATCCGAGGAACTGAAGGAAGCAGGGTCAGATTCGAATCCAGGAATGGAGCGAGATTTCTTTCTCATCAAGAGCTTTTTGGGAAGATTTTTGATGAGTTTCATGGTGAAAATGAGATAAGCGTTTGAGGGTGAAATGAAGAAGAAGAAATGAGAGATATATATGGGTGGAGAGTGCAGAAGCCATGAGTGAGCTTCCACGAAGTTTCCTCAGAAAATTTAGAGGCAGGTTTATATTGGTTTGATTTGTCAGGTATGTGAATATCCAACTCTCCAAGCGAAATTTGACAGCCACGCGTGACGAATTGAATAATATTTGTGTGCCAGAAAATGACACAATATGCATTGGTACGTGATTTAATGAAAAAATTGATTGTGTTTGTAGAGAAAAATTATATAGTGGCACAATGATGATTGGGCTGGATTAATACTTATGGGCTTGTGGATTGGATCACTTGTCACTTGAACTTGGCTAAATGGGCTGATCGGATTGTGATAAAAACGTGTTTTGTTTAAAACCCGTTTTTATTAATAAGAACAGACGCTCCTGATCTTGCCAAGTGTCACTCTCCTCACCGTGGATGACCGACCTTCTAGTTGCTTCTATTTGTACTGGCTTCTAGGGTTTGGACGGCTGATGGATTTCATTTTTACTCAGCCTCTCTCTTCTCTCTCTGCAGCCCTCTGTTCTCTCGAGTTCACTGCTTCTTCGTTTCATTTTAAGCACTTAATCAAAAGCCCTTTGTAGATCGATTTTGTTACAGCCTATTGTAGATCTTGAGTGGTTTATATGGTTCAATCCTTGAGTGGATGTTCGATGTACATTCTGTGGGTTTGTTGTATACGAAATCTTGGTGTGATTTCGTCTAAGTGCCATGAACTGTGAACTGTACCTTTATTGATTCCGATTATTATAGTGGTTTCTTCCGGTGGTGGAAGCTCAAAAGGGGATTAGGGACTCCGATTCCGAACCTCTTGCCTTAGGGCGAAAATACTGTGTTCTTTCTTGTGTTTTCTGCGTTTTTTCTTTCATTCCCTTTACTGTAGTTTATTATTTTTGTTGATTGAAGTGGGCTAATAATTTGAACTTGCCGTAACAGTGGTATCAGAGCAAGTTGACGGTAGTTCTTGGCGTCGATGTTGGTAGATTCAAGGATTCTTGCACTGGTTCTAATGAATTTGTTATTTTCGTGAAACCCTAACAAGGTTTCTTTGGTGAGTTCGTTCCATATCATTCGAGTTACATATATTCATCAGCCTGTACTGTGAGATTTTTTGTAACCAAGCCTTAAACTCTAGATTTGTGACTTCTCTCGGCAATACCTATGTCCAGAAACCCCTAGAGTTGTCTGGAATCTTAGGGTTGCCTTGACTTCAGTCATTGATCTAGATTTCCCATGTAACTCTTACATATATCTCTTACACTGTACATAGCACACTGTAATTTAGGTATATGTGATCTTATATGTGCTATCTTTAAGTAAGCTGCTTATTCTGAAGTGAATTAATATGTTGAGTTTACTTACTGAATGATTAGAAATATATATAACTTGAATACTGCACATTCCAATTTTATCTACTGCGTATGATATTTGACTTCTTGCAAGTTATACATATATATTAGCTAAGTTGCAAGTAATCTGCCTGAATTTAATTTTTTTTTTCAAATTGAGTTTTGATAATGTCAACTAAAGTTGAATTGGAAATTTTTAATGGTAAAGGAGACTTTAGTCTCTGGCGCCAGAAAATGAGAGCCCTTTTATTTCAACAAAAATGTGCTAAAGCTATTGATGAGTCATGGCCTAATGATATGGAAGAAATTAAGAAAACAGAACTTGACGAAACTGCATGGAGTTCTATATTCTTGCATTTGTCTGACAATGTTTTGAGAGAAATTGGTGAGACAAAAACTGCTGTTAAGTTGTGGAAAAAATTGGAAGATACCTATTTGAATAAAACCATGCCTAATAAAGTGTATCTTCTAAAACAATTTTTTGGTTTCAAATTGGATCCATCTCTTGATCTTGATGCAAACATTGATAGGTTTAACAGATTATCCCGTGACCTAGCCGACTGTGATGAGAAACTCTCAAAAGATCAGTTGGCTGTGGTTTTGTTAAATTCAATAATTGATAAGTACAAGGATGTTAAAAATGCTATTGAATATGGGAGGGAGACTCTAACTACTGATGTGATAATAAATGCATTAAGAAATAAAGATTTAGAGTTAAAATCTGAAAAAAGAGAATTCATTAGGGGTGAAAATTTGATGGTTAAATCCAAACCTAACTCAAATACAAAGATGACCAACTTTAATAAAAAATCAGGACACAAGAAGAAAATAAACTTTAAAGATAAAATGAAAAATAAGACCAAGGGTAAAAAAATGTTTTTATTGCCTAGGTGAAGGTCATTTTATCAAAGATTGTTATAAGAGACTTAATGATTTGAAAAATAAGTCCAATAATGATGGAGGTGCTGCCTTGGCTTATAAAAATGAGTACAATATAGATGAAGTCTATGTTGCGACACATAGTTCACCCAGTCAGGAGTGGATCCTTGACTCAGGTTGCACTTTTCATATGTGTCCTGAAAGAGAGTGGTTTAGTGAGTTTGAAAATGTAAATGGAGGTCAAGTGTTAATGGGTAATCACATGACTTGTCAGGTAAAAGGAATAGGATCTATTACCCTAAAGTTAGAAGGTAATAATGAGTTGATCTTAGAAAAGACCAGGTATGTTCCTGACCTACAAAGAAATTTGATATCTTTAGGTGTCCTAGATGACCTGAACTACAATATTGTGATTAACAAGGGATACATTAAGATCTTGAGGGGCTCTCAATTAATTGCAGAAGCCCCCAAGAGACATGGACTTTACATTTTACACACTCAAAACTTTTTTGACTCTACATCAGCAGCAATTTCTGCTCCCAATGATATGTCACAATTATGGCACAAAAGGTTGTGTCATATAAGTGATAAAGGACTTCAGATTTTGAAAAAACAAGGTGCTTTTGGTAAAGATATAATTGAGAAACTCAGTTTTTGTGATCATTGCATACTAGGGAAGCAAAATAAATTACCATTTCTGCCTGGGATGCATAAATCTGTGTCTATTCTTGAATATTTGCATGCTGGTCTTTGGGGACCAGCTTCTGTGCCCACACATACTGGTTTCAGATTTTTCCTTTTAATCATAGATGACTTTTCTAGGAAAAACTGGCTCTTTCTACTTAAACATAAGTCTGACACTTTTAATGCTTTTAAAGAATGGAAAATCTTGATTGAAAATCAAACAAATAAAAAGATTAAAGTGTTGAGGACTGATAATGGGCTTGAGTTTTGCAATTATGAATTTGATGAATTGTGCAAAGTGCATGGCATTTTAAGACACAGAACAGTGACACATACCCCACAACAAAATGGCTTGGCTGAAAGAATGAACCGAACTATTCTTGAGAGAGTTAGATGCATGTTATTAGGTTCTGGTCTTCCCAAGTTATTTTGGGGAGAAGCTACAAAAACTGCTAGTTATCTCATAAATAGAAGCCCCGCTAGTGCTATACAATTAAAATCCCCTGAAAAAGTTTGGACAGGAAAACCTGTAGATTTAAGTAATCTAAAAATATTTGGGTGTGCAGCCTTTGCACTTCAATCTGAAGGGAAACTTGAACCTAGGGCCCTTAAGTGTGTTTTTTTGGGATATGGTGAAGGGGTATAGACTTTGGGTAAGAGAGACCAAGGGCTACAAGATCATTATAAGTAGAAATGTGGTGTTTAATGAATCTGATCTGCCTTGTTTAAAATTTGAAAGTAACACTACTAAATCTAGTCAGACTGAAAATGAAGGAAGGGAAACTGAAATTGAGGTGGAGCAAGTTAATAATGATAATCCACAACATGATCAGATTGAAAATAATGAAATTGAGGCTCAAAATGATGAAGAAACTGATCAAAATGAATCTGATTTTGAGGTTAATCAACCCTTAAATGATTATCAACTTGCTAGAGATAGAGAAAGGAGAGAAATAAGACCACCTGTGAGATTTGATGATGAAATATCCCTTCTCACTGTTCAAGGGTTCATTGAAAATGAACCCGAGTCCTATAAGGATGCTATGAGTAGTAAGGACTCTAAGCATTGGCTAACAGCAATGCATGATGAAATGGAATCATTGAGGAAGAATAAAACATGGACTCTAGTTAAAAGACTTAAGGGAAAGAGAGTTATAGGTTGTAAGTGGATTTTCAAAATCAAAAGAGGTGAAAAAGATGACAATGACATTAGATACAAAGCACGACTTGTAGCAAAGGGTTTTGCCCAAAAAGAGGGAATAGATTTCAATGAAATCTTTTCTCCAGTTGTGAAATTTACAACTGTTAGAGTAATACTAGCTCTAGCAGCTCAATTCAATTGGGAATTGGATCAATTAGATGTAAAAACTGTATTTTTAAATGGAGATCTTGAAAAAATCATTTTTATGGAACAACCTAAAGGCTTTGAAGTGAATAAAAATTCAGACTTAGTATGTCTTCTTAAAAAGTTACTTTATGGTTTAAAACAAGCTCCAAGACAATGGTACAAGAGATTTGATACTTTTGTGCTTGGACTTGGTTTTAAAAGAAGTAATTTCGATACTTGTCTTTATTGTAAAGGAAATAGAGGTGAGAATTCACTCTATCTTCTACTTTATGTGGATGACATGCTTTTAGCAAGTCATGACATAAAGGAAATAGAGTCAGTTAAAGACAAATTAAAATCTGAATTTGAAATGAAAGATTTAGGTCTTGTTAGAAAAATCTTGGGTATCAAAATTAAAAGAAATAGAAGAGAGGGCACACTAAGCCTAAATAAAAAATCTTATGTTTTAAAAATACTTGAAAGATTTGCAATGTCTAATGCTAAAAGTGTGAGCTTGCCTTTAACAAATCACTTCAAATTATCTAATGATCAATGTCCCAAAACAGAAGATGAGTTAAAAAGAATGGCTAGAGTGCCATATTCTAATGTTGTGGGGTCAGTTATGTATCTAATGATTTGTTCTATGCCTGATTTGGCATTTTCAATAAGTGTATTAAGTAGATACATGTCAAATCCTGGTGAGGTTCATTGGGAAGCTATGAAGTGGCTTCTAAGATATATAAAAGGGACTTGTGACCTAGGAATTGAGTATAGAAAACAATCTGAGGGTGTTATCTTGAGGGGTTTCACAGATTCAGATTATGCAGGTGATAGGGATAATAGAAAATCAACTTCTGCTTATGTTTACACTCTATGTAATTCCTGTATAAGATGGAAATCACAATTACAAAAGATTGTTGCCTTGTCTTCAACTGAAACAGAATATATAGCTGCTACAGATGCAATTAAAGAAGGAATTTGGCTAAAAGGACTTTTAGATGAATTTGGCTTCATAAATGATGTTGTCTTACATTCTGATAGCCAATCTGCTATATATTTGAGTAGAAATCCTGTGCTGCATAATAGATCTAAACATGTTGATGTAAAGTTTCATTTTATTAGAGATCTGATATCTCAAGGTGTTGTTAAACTTGAAAAGATTTCTACTCATTTTAACCCTGCTGATGTTGGAACCAAAATACTGCCTTTAAACAAGTTTTTGGACTGTTTAAAGCAAATTAATATAAATTGCTATTGATTTGTGCATCGGGTACTCGAGCAAATGATGCCATGACTGTAGGAATCACTATAAATGATGCTGGTATCATTGTACCAAGGTGGAGAATGTAGAGAAAAATTATATAGTGGCACAATGATGATTGGGCTAGATTAATACTGATGGGCTTGTGGGCTGGATCACTTGTCACTTGAACTTGGCTAAATGGGCTGACCGGATTGTGATAAAAACGTGTTTTGTTTAAAACCCGTTTTTATTAATAAGAACAGACGCTCCTGATCTTGCCAAGTGTCACTCTCCTCACCGTAGATGACCGACCTTCCAGCTGCTTCTATTTGTACTGGCTTCCAGGGTTTGGACGGCTGATTGATTTCATTTTTACTCAGCCTCTCTCTTCTCTCTCTGCAGCCCTCTGTTCTCTCGAGTTCACTGCTTCTTCGTTTCATTTTAAGCACTTAATCAAAAGCCCTTTGTAGATCGATTTTGTTACAGCCTATTGTAGATCTTGAGTGGTTTATATGGTTCAATCCTTGAGTGGACGTTCGATGTATATTCTGTGGGTTTGTTGTATACGAAATCTTGGTGTGATTTCGTCTGAGTGCCATGAACTGTGAACTGTACCTTTATTGATTCCGGCTAATATAGTGGTTTCTTCCGGTGGTGGAAGCTCAAAAGGGGATTAGGGACTCCGGTTCCGAATGTCTTACCTTAGAGCGAAAATACTGTGTTCTTTCTTGTGTTTTCTACGTTTTTTCTTTCATTCCCTTTACTGTAGTTTATTATTTTTGTTGATTGAAGTGGGCTAATAATTTGAACTTACCGTAACAGTGTTATATGATAAGTTATCATATGTCGATATATTAAAGATTATGTCAATCATTTTGTTTGTATAACATGATTGGAAGAAATATATTGACTAGACATAAGAGCTAGTAAGATAGTCTCTTTAACATTTTAGGTTTATAAGATTATTGGACCGGTCCATCTAAATCCAAATTATTCCTTTCATCTCAATTGTATAGGTTTGTTTCGTTTTTTACACATATTAAGAAATCTTCTTTAATGTCATTGGAAAATTAATTATTGTTGGAATTAATAAAAAATCTGAATGATTTAATTTCAAGAAGAAGAAATGAGAGTTGTTTCATATTTTCAAGAAATGGGAAATGTGCGTATTTTGATTATTTCAAGAAGTTGGCATGGAAAAAATTGAATAAGGGTATATTAGTAAATGAACAAAATAAAATATTCTAGGAAATAGACCTATATATTTGAGACGAGAAAAAGGAAGCTCAACCTATATAATTGAGACGAATGGAGTAATATTTTTGGATGAAATTCAAAATTGGAGTAACTGATATTAGAGTTGGACTTGTGCCCAAACCTAGTTATGCAAATTATAACGGGATAAATTAGATGTATATAGAAGATCAGGATGAAGGTGGGGGTTTCCAATTTGGATCGCGATGAGTCAAAATAAAAATAAAAATGGTAGTTGACTCTCAATATAATCATGCCACGTGGATAATAGTCTTGAAGCGTCGAATGAGTTGGACATTGATGGATAGTGCGATCCTTTTAGCTAATTAGAAGAAGAATGGATAGATTATTACTTGAAATGGAGACAATAATCAATTATCTTTTTCAAGTAGAGCTCTAAATCTCACACATTCTTAACAATGACTTGCTATCTTATTTTGATTTCTTATATTTTTACCCAAACATCCACCCTAATAAATGGGTCGCAGAAACAATAGTGGAAACATGGCAAGAAAGAGAGAGAATCCCTTGCATATGCACTTAAGTGTGTATTTGTATTCCTTCCACTTGAAGATATATTAGTTGGATCTTTTATCATTTTTAGATAATACCTTGAAGTTTCGTCTAGAGTAGCATGAATTGTTACAACCGTTGAATCTTCTATTAGTAGATGGACCGCCATGAAGAATTGACTGAACAACCCATTACCCATGCAGTATATACATCTTAAATATCTAGAAATTCTCACTAACAGAACCCATAAAAGAAGAATAAAGGGAACAATCAATATGCAATTGTGCATTTGACCACTAACTAAGACATCATTGCATGGTAGAATTATACAATATTATGAAATGCACATTTTGATTTTTGACTAATTCATATCCATTCCTTTTAATTTAAAGTGATCATTTATTTATTTATTTATTTATTTAACTTTCTTTCCCCTTCCAGTCAAATGTGGCTTTTAATTCTTAGTGGAGAGTCCTCTCTCTCTCTTTTTCTGGCAAACGAATATGAAATTGTCCCACCGTTACCCACTTGACCTTCTTCTTGTGTGCATGTCAGTAGGTTTCTTGAAATCTAGTTGACTTCAGACTGTAGAGATCAACAAATCCGTTGATTCATATAATTTTCCAACTCATCTAGTCTATAAGTTACGGGACCCACTGTTATGTGAATTTTGATCATACAATTTGTGGATCCTCCAACTTTGTCAATTATGCTTTTTTAAGAACGACATATCGTCCTAGTATATTCCGCCCCACCCCTTGTTGCAATAGTTATAATATTTTAATCAAGATGCAACAGTTGACATCGACACATTTCTTGTATTCTTTTTATATCAAGTTATCCATCTTACGGTGACTAAATCCTGGAGTTTACACCTTGGCCCTTCAAGCTGCAGACAGGTTAAACCGCAGGTTGTGCCCCAAACTGACCAGTGTTCTAGAGCCCCCAACTGATATGCCAAAGTACCAAGCAAGTCGTTTCCCATCTTTGCACCTTACCTTCCAGTAGAGCTCTTGCCTTCTAGGATAAATCCTGCCTTCCAAGAACTTTTCAAGAATGGAACTCACGACTTCTGATCTACCAACCTTCAAGCGCCCTCATCTTTGTCAGTTGGGATGTGCCCCGGGGGGGCGCACATTTCTTGTATTCTTGAACATTAGGGAGGAAGTGAATGTGATGATATCATTTTAGTTTGTCCATCTACTTGTGAATCGAAGTAGAATCAAAAACAAAATTAGCTATAAAACGACACGGAAAAATTCGTGAACCCAAGGTTTTTCCGTAGACAGGCAAGATCAAGAAATTTAAAACCTTCTATTCACATGTTGGGTGATGCAATAAAATCTCAACATCAATCTTTCGAAAAACCTAGTGCATTTCAGGCAAGTCCTTGGAATTCTAAATCTAGCTTCGACAATAGTGATCAAAGTAGTAAAAATTTTAAGGATTCTGATAAAGAAGACTAGTTTCAAACTAGCACTTCTTCGTTGAAGTGCTCTCTGTTGAAAGTGGAAATTTTAGAAATTAGAAGAAATTCCAAAATCATCAAGAAACTTTAGAAGTATGAGGTTGATTAATATATGATTTAGTCAAAATACAATTTGGTTAAACAAAAGTTTTTAATTGGATAGAAGAATTTTACATGGTTAAGGAAAAGCTTGTCATTGGCTGAGAGCTATTAAAAGAGTTACATAATCATCTTGAACTCTTCTTCTATTAAAGGAGGTGGAAGTTATTTAATCATTTTGAACTCTTCTTTTATTAAAGGTGGTGCAAATTAGTTATTCATTTTGAATACTTCTTTAGGTTGAAAAAAGTTACTTGATCATCTTGAATTCCTCTTAATATTTTTTATATAGTGTGTATTAGTGTGTGTTTTTTTATCTATAGGTTAGAAAAGAAAATTCCACGTTTGTATAAGAGAGTGTTTGAGAGAGAATTGTTCTACTGTACTAGCTATATATCGTGAGATTAAAGATAGTTTGTTTATTTGAGTAAAAAAGTGATATTTTATCACATCTTTTAGCAAACGCTCTTGGGTTTCTGAGGATGTAAATGTTGATAGTGTGACGTGTTCGTTCACTCTCTTTTCTTTCTTGAAAACAGGTAGGGAAGTCACTCATTCACTCTCTCAACTTTATGGCTTGTGCCTGAGAAATTTACAGACTGCACGAGTGCACGACCCTGATGACGGGGAAGGTAAAGGAAGATCTGATTCAACCAAGAAACCGTTGAGAGGAAAATCTGAGAAGAAAGCATCAAAGCACTGGAGCAATCTTAAGAATTGGATTCGACTTCAAAGATTCCTCAAGGAATTGGAAAAGAGTAGAAGTTGAATCCAAAGAAGCTATAGCTTTTGCCATCAAAATCGACTTCGAAGCAGAAAAACTCGACCTGCTGAGTGCTGCCTACAGCCTCAGACGGTAGATGAGAGTAAAAGAGGCAAAGAATAGATAATTGATCGCGCACGAAAAGAAAAGTAGCTTTGCTAGTAAAAGCATTTGAAACGGGCCCTGAAAATGCAATATATCCATGTAATTATAAAATTCAATGATTATCATACTACTATCAACTTCTCTCGAAAGCTACTCTCACTGAGGCCAGTAAATTGTAAACAGAAAACACTATAGTGTTCATTCTCAAGTAGTGCTTTGAAAAACTGTACCTTAACAAAGTAAACAAGGGGAAAAAAATAGAATCAGAAAAATTATGAGGGAGGATCACTGCTTACGTATTTCAATTCTTCACATCTCTTTCTAACACTTGTTTTCCACAAAGACAGTACTTCTCTAGTAGTACGAAAATGTACCTCAATCCCGTGCTACTATAAAGTCGTCGTATTCATTTGAGCTCATCGAATCCTCCGAACTATCACTCCATATCATATCAGTATCTTCATCTCTCTCGTCCTTCCATCTGTTATCTTTGTGGAATACTCTACACACAATCCAATCGTCCAACTACAAGAAAAATGAACTTCATGTCATCGAACATACTACCAAAAAAAACGTGCAAAGATAGAAAATATCTAAATCACATACCTCTGTATGATCTGCAGCAAGTTGATCGTTGAATCTGATTTCATGCATAATCCACGAAGTCTTGTCCCCGTTGGGTGGGTTTCCCTTGTAGAATTCAAGAGTCTTTCGAAATCCAATAGTTTCATCTTTCTGTTTGATGGTTTCATCATCTTCCCCAATTACCTGCCAATATCCATCGACTCCAACTCCAACTCCATTCCGTATTTCTTCATTTTCGTGTTCTATGTCCCTTGTTGTAAAGAATAACCATTCTTCCGCTCGATTCACACCATAATCATCTAAGATGAACATACAGATGAAGATGCATATCAAGAAAGAAAGAAACTAAAATCAATGATTATTTTATTTTTATTTTTTATTTTTACCTTCAAGATTTTCCGGGTTTAATTTGTATACATTATCAACCACTTTCATCAGATTGCGAGACATCGTCTCGTTCTTGATTTTTCGGGTTAAGAAATCAAGAATTAGTTCAGCATCAGTAGGGCGAAAAACAAAACCAGGCCAAATATTATTGGAATATTCATCGTCACTAACTTGTGAATTATAATATTCGGGGTTTGTAGGAGAATAATAGGTTTCCCAGTCCCAGTTCTCCATTGGGAAGAGAAGAGAGAATCCGAATGAAAAATTCTGACCAAACCCTAATTGGATTTAATACACTTTGAATCCCGTGCGTATATCCCAGTACAATTCTACCTCAGTTAATCCCAGCTCAACTCTATGAATTGGATTGTTAAAAACTTTTCGAGAACTGGTGTATTTCAGTCCCGATTGTTAAATACTTTTAGATTGTGTTTTGGTGGGTAAGTGAGAAACAAATGGTAGTAAGGACCCGTCTGGCATAACTTTTGTTTTTACTTTTGCTTCTTGTATAAGAGATTTTGGAGGAAGTTATTTTAATTTTTGTTTGAAAATTAATATTTAAAAGCATTTTCTTTTTCAGAAATGCTTTTAGAGAAAGCCACATTAAACTAGCTTCCTTTAAAAGTTCTTCTAACTACCAAAAGCATTTTAATGAAATTAGTCAAACGAATCCAAAAGCAACTTTTAAACTTCAAAAGCTCCTTTTGACTTTTTAAAAGTCATGCCAAACGGGTTCTAAATGAGAGAAAGAAGTGCCTAAAAATAAAAACATACCCCTTCATAAAAAATAAAATAAAAATGGTTCTCCTCATTTTCGAGGAAAATATGATAATGTGATCAACTTTGTAAAAAAATATTTTATATGAAAAAAAATGGCAAACCAAACACCCAAAAAGTAAGGTCTTGAGTGAAAAAAGAAGAAGACATTTTTCAATGAAAATAAAGTCAATAAAACACACCATGAGTTTGAAGAATTACCGTATATTCAATTGAAACTTTATTAAAGTCTTTATAAATCTTATGATATTCAAATTGTTAATGATTTTTAAAAGCTTTTATAAAAGTTTTTAGGGTACTAACTTTAAACAAAAAATATTAAAATAAAATCTCAAAATTTGTCTATCATTAATCCCAACATTTTGGAGGACTTTATATATATACTAGTAAGATACATGTGAAATGATGTAATTGAGTATATAATAGCGTACAAAAAATATGATGATAATTAGTCGAGCCTTGTCTTTGCTGTTACTTAAAGAGTTTTAGAGTTGAGGATATCAATACTCTTTTTTATCGGTAAATGTAAAATTTTATAGATAAAAACTTCACTAGAAATATATTGGACAAAGTAAATAGAAGTTCATATAGAAATTGATAAAGTTTGAACTAAAAAAAAATTATTTATATCATAAAACGAAAAGAATTTACAAAAATTTTAAATTGACCAAAAATTATTTATAATATAAAGGGAAAAGAAATTTTAAAATAATTTTCAAAAAAATATAATAAATTAAACAATTTTATAAATATTTTTTTATTTAAATTTTTTTTAATTCTTTTCTTTTTATGATAAAATTTAAGAAAAAATTTTAAATCGAAAAAAATTAATAATGTAGAGTAAGTAATGCAGACGGAGGCCCAGAAAACAGAAATATAAATTCTATGCAGATTGATACGTATGCAATTAGCTTCCTTTAATGTAGAATCTCATTAAAGACCATACTATGTATTCTACCTAGAAATAAGTTATACATGCTTGCCTAAGCTTAAAAGTGAAACTCAATTTTATGTAGATTTTTGCTTCCAAGCATGTTCGGATAGGTTACCGTTTTTTATGAGAATTTTTTTTTTTTACTCATATTGAGGATAGGTGACTTTTAAGTCTTCCGTCAAATTTCAAGGCTCAACCATGGACAAGTGGTGAAAACTACCAAGAGGGAATAGTAGGGGCAGAGGGAATTTCCAATGGAGCGATGATAGCGTCGAGATTGGAAAGAGTGCAAATTACTTCCAATTAGTTAACTTACTTTTTTTCAATTGGAACTAAATAAAGTCGTATAATTTAGAACTTATTTAGTTAGATAATGCTATATATATATACTCCCTTACCACTTGGATGATATTCTTCCCTATGTGGAAGAAATTAGTGCGGTGATATGATGGATGAGTTTAAAATCAAAAGTGTAGATATTGTCATGTGGAAGATTATAAAAGAATGTTTAAATTGGAGTGTAAACCTATTCGGGATTGAATTGCCCGGTTTAACTTCAAGCTTGGCAATTGCTGAGCATGTTGCTGCCAGATTGAACTCTAAAAATTGAATAATTTCTTTTCATTAGAATCAGCATGCTACCCGAAGAACTTGTTGAGGACTAGTATTGCAAATTTTTTAAAGATTTAATACAATCTTGAATCTGTTTTTGATTCTGACCAAGTATAAGATTTGATTCCCATTTTTTTTTTTATGTGGGATGAAATGACAGGTTCTTATCTTGTTTTAACGATTTTCAATCTTGTAGTCCTTTAAATCAAACCAGACCAATTTTTCGGGATTAGATAAAGAAGTTTAGTTTTTCATGTGGACGCTCATAAATTTCGACTGAAGAAAAGAAGTATGCAGATTGAGTAGACAATATATTGACCAATTTGAACATTAAAACCAACGCGTTAAATTATGATTAACAATTTACAAATATCTTAAAGCAAAATGGATTCTGATCAATCCCAAAATGAACCCTTTTTTTTCTTTCGTTTTTTGGATAGTATTGTCCAATTTCCTCAATCATGCACAATATGTCATGGAGCACGACATTTTGTTCCTTTACGAGATCTCTAGCGCTTCAATTGATTAAAAACGCATAGATGCATTACAAATGCCAAAGTGGACAACAACAAGCGTCGTGCATGAAATAGGGAAACGTGTGTCTAATCGAAAAGATGTAGATCACCAACAAGTGTCATTATCAAGTAGTGCTTTGAAACTGAGCATTAACGAAGTAAACAAGGGAAAAAAAAAAGAAAAAAAAAGAAGTAAAATCAGAAAAATTATGAGGGAGGATCACTGCTTAAGTAATTCAATTCTTCACATCTCTTTCTAATAGGTGTTTTCCACAAAGACGGTACTTCTATAGTAGTACGAAAATCAACCTCTACCCCTTACTAGTATAAACTCGTCATATTCATTTGAACTCATCGAATCCTTCGAACTATCACTCCATATCATATCAATATCTTCATCAGTCATCACTCTCGTCCTACCATCTGTAATCCTTGTGGAATATTCTACACACAATCCAATCGTTCAACTGCAAGAAAAAAGAACTCCTTGTCCATTGAACATACTACCAAAAAGACGAGCAAAGATTGATAATATCTAAATTACATACCTCTGTATCATCTGTAGCAAGTTGATCGTTCAATCTGATTTCATGCATAATCCAAGAAGTCTTGTCATCGTTGGGTGGGTTTCCCTTGTAGAATTCAAGAGTCCTTCGAAATCCAATAGTTTCATCATTCTGTTTGATGGTTTCATCATTTTCCCCAGTTACTTGCCAATATCCATTGACCCCAACTCCATTCCGTATTTCTTCATTTTCGTGTTCCATATCCCTTGGTGCAAAGAATAACCATTCTTCCGCTCGATTCTCACCATAATGATCTAATATGAACATAAAGATGATGATGTATATCAAGAAAGAAAGAAAGAATCCAAAATCAATGGTGTTTTTTTTTTACCTGGAAGATTTTCCGGGTGAAAGTGGTATACATTATCAACCACTTTAATTAGATTGCGAGACATCGTCTCGTTCTTGATTTTTCGGATTAAGAAATCAAGAATCAGTTCAGCATCCGTAGGGCGAAAAACAGAATCAGGTGTTTCGCGCGGGTTAAGTCGCTAACAATTAAAAAGGATCAGACGATTGTATAAGGGACGAAACCTCTTGAGACAAAGTTCCAAAAATGAGTGTTCTTTTATTGGCGATGAACTTTACAATTGGGAATGAAAAACAAACGTGCCTCCAAGGAGCGCAAGCACACGAGTTACAGAAAAATGTTTAAGTCTAAAAGCTAAGGAAATGAAAATTACATATTCTCTGTTCGAGAGTTTTGGATTCGGTCCTTTGCTTCTGCGTCCTTTCTCCCTTTTATACCTCATAGACGATCTCTTTGTGATTAACTACTCTGAAAACTGCTTGATTGTCCTATAACTACCCACTTTCTTCGTAGTGGCCATTTTGTCATGAAACTGCCTCTTAACTGCTGTCATTATCTTTCATCGTTCAACCGCTTTCGATTGAATCCCTTGACTCGTGGAACATGATAAGGCTACTTTAACAACTGCCTTGATAACTGCATTCCTTGATAACCATGATACGTTATATTTGTTGATACCTTGGGCGACTTGAAGGTTTGGGCGAGAGTAGAATAACAGCTCTGGGCGACCGTATGACACTCCATTCGTTCAGATTCTGGGCGACTTGCAAACTTGAGCGATGGCGTTACCGCATTCTTGGGCCCCTTATTTGGGCCTTCACCTTGACTCGTTCAATTGGACTTCGTTTTTTGGGCCATCCGATTTGGGGATTCTCCAATTGGGCTTTACTCCTTGGGCTGTTCGGCTTGGGCTGAATTTTTATGTGTCAACAATTACCCCCCAATATGGCAGAATTAATAATAATTATTGAATTTTGCCATATTCACTTCATGTTCCCAGCGACGTCCGAAATTCCCAAGAATTTCAATCATTGTTTCCTTCTACAACTCGAAAAAGTGCGTTGTTTTGCAAATCCTTATAAACCCCAAACACGTCATTTCACTGCTACCAACCACGCCTCATATTTTCTGCATCTCTTTCACGATTCACTGTTCATCTTTTGCTTCCTTGTTACGTAACCCCGAAAAGCTTCGTTCATTCTCCAATGGCTGCTTCACAATCTCAAGCTAGTGATTCCTTTAGTTTTGATGACTTTCAGAAACTTCTGAGTCGCCCATACATAACCCCAAGTTTTCTCGCGCCCACCGACGTTGGACGTAATGAGTTTTACTTGGGTCCTTTCTTCAACAATGCGGATGCAGTTGAACAAGCGGCGGTGGGTCAGCTGTTTCCTTGCACTCATGGTCCTCCTTTTCTAAACTCTCTACCGCTGGGGCCACTTCGCGAAAGAGGTATTCGCACTTGGCCTAAATCTGATGTAGCTTTTCGTAGGTGGCATGCTCGCCTTATGGGTCATGGCCCTACTAAGGCACTTTTTGATAGCGCTAGGATTTCTGACTTATTAGAAGTCTCTATTCGCCCCCCTACTTTTGATTCAGCGCTCTTTCCGATTGCCTTGAGTTTTTGGTCCCCTGAGTATAACACCTTTATTTTTCCTCTTGGCCCCATGTCTATTACGTTAAGGGATGTTGGGGCCCTGGTGAATTTACCACCTTTGGGCGATACCATTTTCCCAGGTATCTTAGTTTCTGGTGGCGCCCCACAGTTCGGTAAAAACTACACCGATTCTTATTCAAGCCTGCAGACCCTCCATAATCATTCGAGCGCTGAGCCTACCCATGCTGAGCGAGTGGCCTTTCTTTTAGTTTGGCTTTGTAAATATGTTTTGTGTGTGCCAAGTATAAAGCCTTCTCTGAGTTATTTACCTATAGCGCGCGAATTAGCGCGTGGCAGGCCTTTGAATTTATGTTCTTTGTTTTTGGCTGCTCTTTATAGAGGTATGGCTTTTCTTCGGGCTCAATTGAAGAATGGTGCATCTCCCACTGGCAGTGGACCTCTTTGGTTCACTCAACTGTGGTTGAGATCCTATTTTCCATCGCTTGGTGCTCCATCCATTTCTCGTCCTTCTGCTAGCTGTTACGGGCTAGCTATGGAGCCCTTAACTCCTGTAACTATGTCCAGAAGGGACATTTTTACATTCTTTTATTCTTTAGATTCAATTTCTTCCTTCTTTTCTTTTCCTTTTTTTTTGACTCCAAACTATGTACATCCCCTTCCACTATAGATAGTGCGAGCACTTCTCTGCTCATTTGGATCCAGTTTTTAACTGGGAGGGAGTTTTTCCATGATATCTTAACTGGGACGAATGCCAAAGCGAGGGTAGAAATTTATGCTCCCCAATTTTTTGCCCGTCAGCTTGGTTTTGGCCAAACTTGGCCTGTTCCTCTGTGCTATTCGAAGAGCTTAATTGACCATTTTCATACCATTAATAAGGCGGAAGCGGAGGCTATAAACGTTCGCAACCTCCATTTATCAAGCCACTTTTCATTAGCCCCTTTTAATTCTTGTCATGCTACTCACCCTCTTTTTGAACAATTTTGGCCATCAGTGAAGCGCAGACTATTTGCGACTGAGGCCAATCGTGCCTTTCATTCATTAGACCAACCGAGTATTTCTTCTCCTCTTCCTGTTTTGGTCACTCCTTTGTCTATTCGAAGCTCCTTTCCTTCTCGTCGTACCAAACAACCTGCTCGTCCATCTTCTTCTCTCCCCGCCAGGCCTAATACGGCCAACAGTGCTTCAAGCCGCAAACGGCCAGTCTCAGCATCTCCCATTCTGGAGGATGATATTGATGATGATGCCCCTCTTATCGTCAGGAGGAAGGTAATTAAATCGGTCTATTTACAAGTATGCTTTTCCACATTTGATACTGTTCTGTGTACTGATGATCTTTTGGACTTTTCAGAAAAGTTCAGCTTCCCCTTCAAAGGCTTTGGCATCGACAACTCCTGTTCCATCATCCTCTGCTAAGGCTACTTCATCCAAACCGGTTGGTGATGGGACCATGCTTAAAGATACATCTTCAGTCCCAGAATCTTCGTCACAACCCGTGGATGAACCACCTTCTTCCCAGGGTGTCGACCCCCCAATCATCGAAGCAGAAGGTAATTCAGTTTTTGATGTCTTACCTTTGCTCGTGCTATTGGTTTCTGATTTGTTGCTCTTAAACCTTGCAGAAACTCCTATGAGTCCGCCCGTTGTGGCAACATCGTCTCGTTCGGACAAGGGGAAGTCCTCACGAATGGATGAGTCGCTGGTGGCAAGCTTGACCGAGGGCGCGCCATCTTCTACGATTGTCGACGGGGTAGTTTTCTTTTGCTTCATTTCTATTATTTCTATTTCCACCTTGTTCATTGTAGTGAGGATTTTTAATATTGGCAACCTTCTTTGCAGGACGCTGACAGGATTGTGCGTTCTATCCAGGATTTGTTCGCTTCTTGGGGACAGGTCCAAATGCCTCGCCCTGCTCCATCTGGTTGTCCTGCCGCTTCTTCAGAGGATGATTTGAAGTTCTTGAAGGAATTGGTATTTGAGTATGTATCCTTCATGGATATGGACATTGGAAGGGCTAGTGCTGCCAGACACAAGGATGAACTTGAGCACTTGAGTGCGAAGTTAGAGCAAGCACTGACGCTTCCGTCGCTCAATCTTTCTGCCGACTTTAAAGCGACGTTGAAAGTCATTCACTCCGAGGTCCTTTCTATGCTGGCCAAGAATGCTGAACTAAAGGCCAAGCGTACTCAATATCTTCGAGCTGTAGCTGAGAAAGAGTCTTTACGCATGGAGATCAACAAGGCTAAGGACGAGTTGAAAGAAATCTCTTCCGAAGTCATGATTGAAGACTCTTTGATGGTTAACTTGGCTGCTCAGATGAGGAAACTTCAAGCCAAAATGGACGATTGCAGGGCGGGGATGGCTGCTAAGAAGCGTAACGCCTCTCAGGGGATTGAGCGAACTAAATCTTTGGTCGAACAGTACAAGAAGTTGGAGGTTGATGATGATGACGTTGCGGCTGAATTGAACATCACTTCCTCCCGACAGAACGAGGATTGGGAAAAACTTAGGGAACGAATTCGTTCCTTATGGGGTAGACTGTAATTAAGACATACGATGTCTTTTTCTCTTTTATAATTTTTGTTCATTATTAACGAACATTAACTTCTTGTGCATTTATTTGACGTTTATTTTCTAATCATCAATTCTTTAATCACTTAACTGCTTTGCACTAAGAATCTTGTCTATTCCCTTTTGATATTCCCACTACTGTTCCCAAGACTTAGGGCCATTTAATTCCGTCCGTTAAACAGAAATGTGGCTGTTCACATTCTGTCCCTTCATCTTCACCCCCTATAAATGTTTCACATTTTTCACCCTCTATCTTCATCTCTTCATTTTCTTCTTCGAAACCAATTTACTGCCATTTCTTAGCATTCTGACGATCAACCAGATCCAAAAATGGACTGTCTAGTCCGTCCACCTTATATTTACCTTGACGTCACCTTTTGTATGGGAGGTATAGGAAATATTTTCTGGCCAGCAGCGAAATTTTTTCCTACAAAATTCTTCCCGTCGTCTCTTTGTTCTTCACAAGGAGTCAATGATGGGAGGCAATTTTTGGGCTGCATGTGGGCCACTTTGCTTGCTGAGAGTGCTTCTCAACTTGCCTGCTGAGAGTGTTTCTCAGCCTCGCCATTGCAGCGATGCATTTTATGAAGGTGGCGGGGCCAGTACACCCTCTCACTCGTCAACCCCACCATTGCAGCGATACAATTAGGAAGGCGGTAGGGCCAGTACACCCTCTTACTCGTCAATCCTACCATCGCAGCGATGCATTTAGGAAGGCGGTGTGAAGCTTACTCAGTGATCAACCGGGAGATACTTTAGTTGTATTTTGTAGCACGTCCATCATTTGTATCTTTTGTATTCTTGTAATGAACGTTTAATAATAAAGAACTTTATTCGAACGTATTTCGCTCTGTCTTTATTATCTTTTGATCGTCCAGAATGATTGGTTATGTTTTTATCTGTTCACATTCCCATGAAGAAGGAACATATTTTTTCAAATATTTGCCATTAATGAATCTTACGTGTTTGGTGCCGTCTAGATCTTCTAAGTGGTACGCTCCATTAGGCAACACACTGTTTATTTTGTATGGTCCTTCCCAATTGGGCGATCACTTCCCGTACTTTGGATCCTTGGTATCCAAAGGGAGTATCGTCTTCCAAACTAGTTCACCCAGGCTGAACGACTTGGCTATGACTTTTTTATTATAAAATTTAGTCATTCTTTGCTTTTGAACTTGCAACCTATCTAAGACGTCCAACTTCAATTCATCTAAACTTAATAAATTTTGAACTAGTGATTCGGCATACTCATCATCATTCAACTTATGTTGCAAGCACACTCGGATTGATTGCACGTTGATTTCCATAGGCAAAACGGCCTCCTGTCCATAAACAAGTTGGAAAGGAGTAACTTTGGTACTCGACCGAGGTGATGTTCTATAAGCCCATAAGGCTTTGTTCAAACATTCGTGCCAATTTCTAGCATTTTCATCTATCATCTTTCTGATGATATTCTTTAGAATCTTATTAGAAGATTCTGCTTGTCCGTTGGATTGAGCGTAGTACGGTGTGGAGGTTACTAATTTAATCCCAAACTCGCTCAAAAATTTATTCACTTGATCCCCATTCAAAGATGTTCCGTGATCTACCATTAAAGTTTGTGGAATTCCAAACCTATAATTAATGTGATCACGAATAAACTCTACAACATTCTTCTGGGTGATCTCTTTTAAAGGTACCGCTTCTACCCATTTGGTGAAATAGTCAGTTGCAACTATAACAAAAGTATGTTGTTTGGACGATGGAGGGTAGATCTTCCCTATTAGATCTATCGCCCAACCTTTGAACGGCCAAGGTTTAATAATAGGTGCCATCTCTCGTGCTGGTGCCCTTTGTATTGGACCAT